TGCTGAACTGCCATTTCTCGGGTCATTCCTGGCCACTGTACCAGAAGCTAAACTCCCTCTCCCTATCTCACCTTCTCCTTGGCATTCACTGCTATGTAGCAGGCCATTCACTTCACTTTTTTACGCTTCGCACAACTAAAACATGACCAGGGAATTCTGTCAGTTGTATTCACTGCCATAAGCACAGTGCACAATGCTCAAGAGTTATGTAAACGTTTTTTTAAATTTACATTTATCTGGGGAAAAACAAAAGCAAAGCTGTTTAGTCATGTAAGATAAAATGAAAAAAATCAAAAACACTAAAAAGTACCTTTTAGTTTCAATTTTAACCTCGTGCTGCTCTCGTTTCTTTTCCATCATTTTTCCCCATCTGTTCTTTGGCAAATCTCTCTGAGGCAGCGGTATTGCATGCTGGACATAAAGATCAGTAAGATTGTCTTTGTTTATTCTTACGTCATTTTCAACAGCTATGTTCTTCTGTGGAAAAGGAAACAAAAATAAGTTGAAATCAACATCTTTCACTTTTTTTTCTTTTAGAGATTTTTGCTATAGGGTGCATGGTCCTTGCCAGAGAGACAGAGACAGACAGAGAGACAGAAAGTGAGAAATCACACTCCAGGAGCGATGGCCACACCACAATCCCTTCTCCTCCAGGATCCTGGGCACGCACGTACATGTGCCTCGTGTGAGTTTCAAGCCACTGGGTACTGGGTCTGGGGCTTGAACTTCAGTCAACTACGTGGGAGTCCGGCACGTAACCATACGTCATTTGCTGGTCCCAACGTCTTCCATTTTAACAACAAACCGCCTACTTACCTGACATGGTAAAACATTACTGCTCAAAAAAATTATGAAACCATTCCCACATTCACACATACTCTTAAAAGTCCTATGAGGTATAGCAAGAACAGTATCATAAACAGGTTAAGCTCTGCAAACAGAGGTCTGGCCTTCGCTAAGAGACAATGGCCACGTGTTCTCAGTGTGACAATGACTACTGCCCCCAAATGCTCAACCAACACACCAGACATGAAGACTACTTCCAGCAATATCTTAATCCACACAGGGGATTGAAATGGGGGACTGCCGTGGGAAAACAGAGTAAACAAAACATAACAAACCAACAGTGATAACGCTTACAATTCCGCCAGGAAGCTACCTTGAACGTGATTATGATCGGATTAGCAGGATGGAGGTCTCAGTCTCACCAAGCACGTTTTTCCTCCTGTTTCTCTAATACAGTGCTTCGCTTCTTAAACTAAGGTGAACCTCCACGGTTTCAAGTAGCACCACACACGCAAATGGCAGTCCCCTCACTGATGACAGTAACAGTGCATCATTAGGATGGCCTGTCCCCTGTGCTTTCACTGGTCTTGTCTAGTAGGGACAGTTGGCGAACCACCCCATCTGCATCGCTTCATGCTCCCTCATTTCCCAATTTGTTTCCGACATCATGGAAAACATACATCGCACATGCAGGAGTAGTCAGGGAGTTTGGACTTGGGTAGGAAACGATGGAGGTGGAGATGAGGTCACGCACTCCCAACTTCAGTTCAGAAAGACTAGAAAACGTTACGTGTTTAGTACAACAAAGCAAATGCATGTGTTCTCTGATGAATGTAGCCCAGCTCCTTTCATTTTAAATTTAAAAGTGCACGTTCTTTCTTTTATTTATCATTAATGAACTCACTGATTTCACTCTGTGCTCACTCAGGGGTAGGGTAAACCCTTGGGGAGTCTCCTGGACAAAATTCCCAGAGGATTCAAAGCTCTTATTTTGGGAAGCACTGATTCTGGCAAGGTATGCATCCTGGACCAGAAGCAAGAACTGGATGAAAATGCAAATTTGGGCCCAATGGTAGTTAAGGTGCTGGATCTCACATGGCCAACTCCATGGTTCAAGCCCCAGACCCAGAGGCTTGAGAAATACACCAAGTGTGCATATGTATGCGTGCCCCAAATCCCAAGAGAATGGAGAAGGGACTGAGTCTGTCCTCCCCCCACTCCCCAGAAGGGGCAGGGGACATGGTAAAACATTACTGCTCAAAAAAATTATGAAACCATTCCCACATTCACACATACTCTTAAAAGTCCTATGAGGTATAGCAAGAACAGTATCATAAACAGGTTAAGCTCTGCAAACAGAGGTCTGGCCTTCGCTAAGAGACAATGGCCACGTGTTCTCAGTGTGACAATGACTACTGCCCCCAAATGCTCAACCAACACACCAGACATGAAGACTACTTCCAGCAATATCTTAATCCACACAGGGGATTGAAATGGGGGACTGCCGTGGGAAAACAGAGTAAACAAAACATAACAAACCAACAGTGATAACGCTTACAATTCCGCCAGGAAGCTACCTTGAACGTGATTATGATCGGATTAGCAGGATGGAGGTCTCAGTCTCACCAAGCACGTTTTTCCTCCTGTTTCTCTAATACAGTGCTTCGCTTCTTAAACTAAGGTGAACCTCCACGGTTTCAAGTAGCACCACACACGCAAATGGCAGTCCCCTCACTGATGACAGTAACAGTGCATCATTAGGATGGCCTGTCCCCTGTGCTTTCACTGGTCTTGTCTAGTAGGGACAGTTGGCGAACCACCCCATCTGCATCGCTTCATGCTCCCTCATTTCCCAATTTGTTTCCGACATCATGGAAAACATACATCGCACATGCAGGAGTAGTCAGGGAGTTTGGACTTGGGTAGGAAACGATGGAGGTGGAGATGAGGTCACGCACTCCCAACTTCAGTTCAGAAAGACTAGAAAACGTTACGTGTTTAGTACAACAAAGCAAATGCATGTGTTCTCTGATGAATGTAGCCCAGCTCCTTTCATTTTAAATTTAAAAGTGCACGTTCTTTCTTTTATTTATCATTAATGAACTCACTGATTTCACTCTGTGCTCACTCAGGGGTAGGGTAAACCCTTGGGGAGTCTCCTGGACAAAATTCCCAGAGGATTCAAAGCTCTTATTTTGGGAAGCACTGATTCTGGCAAGGTATGCATCCTGGACCAGAAGCAAGAACTGGATGAAAATGCAAATTTGGGCCCAATGGTAGTTAAGGTGCTGGATCTCACATGGCCAACTCCATGGTTCAAGCCCCAGACCCAGAGGCTTGAGAAATACACCAAGTGTGCATATGTATGCGTGCCCCAAATCCCAAGAGAATGGAGAAGGGACTGAGTCTGTCCTCCCCCCACTCCCCAGAAGGGGCAGGGTGATTTCTCACTTTTCCTCTTTCTGTGTCTCACCTACCAGCTCATGTACCCTATGGCAAAAATCAAAAAACAAAAACAAAAATTGCAAATTTCCAAGCCACATTCTAGACATACTGAATGAGAAACTTCAGAGTCTGGCAATCTGTGGGTGATTCTGTTGCACCTAAAAAGTTTTAAACAGTAAGTTAAAGGTAATGGACATCATTAAAATAATCCATTTAGCAGGAGAGTTTGAAGAAATTACAGAAAGATACAGTATTAAGGAGAAAATTACACGAATAAACAAAAAAACACCCTCCATAAGACCCCAAGGAAAATTTCAATAATGTTCGATCACTTTAAACAACACATCGCTTTCTTCTCTTCTTTGTCGCCTGTTATCCCAGGCCATACCAGCTGAAAATGAACAAATGCTCTCTGGAGAAAAGAGCCCTGAACCTTCACCTGTACCATTTGGGATGGCGTGGACTTACAGAAGTCACTTGCCTCTCCGGGACTGTTTCACCCCGTTTAAACGGGCTGAGAGGGTGTGCCGCGGGCGATGTCTCAGATGCTGCCCTGCCCTGCCAGCCCCGGCCCTCTCCTTCGCCGTCGCGGGTTGCCCAGCCCTCTCCTCCTGCCCTGGCTTGCACACAGGCAGCCGGGTGGTCTGGGGCTCTTCCCGAGCCATCGGGGACCCAGAGAGAGGAGTCCCACTTCCCAGGACTCCGGAGAGTTTACGGTCCTCACTTCCGGAGAGCGGGTGTGGCGCTGGGCAAGAGGAGCCCTGCGGGGTCAGTGCAGGTGCAGAATGGCACGGGCCCGGCGGGGGGTGGACAGGGCAGGGTCGCCCCGTGGGCCACTCGGGCGAGTCCAGGGCGAGCGCCCCCGCCGCACAGGCCCGGCCGCCCCCGCCCAGGCCCTGGCCCCACCTGCTCCAGGGTGAGGAGGAGGAACTCCTGGGAAAGCAGCTCAGGGTGCAGGAGCAGCTCCGAGTCCGTGCAGCTGCGACCGCCCACATCCCCCGCCATCGTCGTCGCCAGGAGACCCCGGCCAGCTACCCACAACGCCCCACGGCAGAAGCGCCCCGGAAGTGACGCGACCGGTGGACGCGCAGGTGTGACGTCACTATGGAGCGCCGCGCGCCGTTCTCCGCGCTCTTTCCTCGCGGCAGCCTCAGGAGCTGGGGCGGCTCCCGGAGCTAGCGCTCCTGGGGACGAAAAGGGCTGCTGACCGGGAAACGGGTGGCCCCCCGAGCGTTTGGAGGGCCGAGCTCACGGGGCCGGCCCGGTGGGGCGCGCCTGCCTTAACGTCCGGTGGTAGACGCCAGGGGCTTCTCTGGAGCCGGAGTGCACGTCCAGGGCGGCGGGGGCGGCTGTCCGTTCCCCCAGACGTGGCCCCGTTATCACTGGCTGTCTGACCGTCCTCTAGCGTGAGCTCCGCAGGGCCGGGGACTTTATCTGCCTAACGTCCTGTGTCCCTGGCGCCTCAGACGTACAGACGCAAATTTGTTCCCCGAAATAATGATCTGAATGAACCTACTCACAGGTGAAAACTTACATTCAGCCAAACGTTTTTTACACATTTACTTGGAGCCGGGTAGTAAGTTTTGCGTGGATTATCTCATTTCTCAGAACATATTTCTTTGAAGCATATCGTACTAGGAAGCCCATTTTTCAGATGAGGAAAGTGGAGACTGGAAAATCAGGGATGATATTCAGTCATGAAAAACAACAAAACCCTGGCTTTTGGCAGAAAATGGAAGAATATGGAAGATCTACTGCTGCGTGAAGCAAGCCAGGCTATGAAGGAGAGACATTGTATGTCCCCACTTAATATATGCCGAGTGTCTGCACTCTATGACTGAAACTAATTGACTAAAAGATGTACAAACACAAGAGATGGGTGTGATTATCAGATGTGGGGTGTGTGGAGGAGTGGGGTCTGGGGAAGGACATTTGGAGGAGGGATATGGAGACAGCATTGACGGGTCGGCGTGGTAGTGGTGTTATCTGTTGAATGTATTTTGATCAACTAGACTGGAAAGAAATGTTCACATACTGCAATGTTCACTTTGTAAGTTAAATAATGTGATTGAATGTATTAAAAATAAAATAAATTATTTTTAAAAAATCAGAGATGTAAAGTGCGAGAGATACACCTGGGCTTGGAACCAGACCTCAATTCAAATTTTATTCTGTTGCACTGACACCCCGAGTGAGTTAGTTAGTCTCTGAGCCTCCGTCCTCCAATCAGGAAAATGCTATGCTAAGCCTGTGAAGATGAGCGAAAGAGTCGAGATTGTATAACATGACACAGAGTAGGTGCTTAAGAACTGGCTGCTAGTTACTAGATTTCCACTCAGGAGTTTAGAGAAGGGGAGCAAGGGTGGGCTTTGGAGAGCCTAGACTTCAGAGGTAAACCCAGTTCCCATAGGCATCTCATTGCTCCCAGCTGTACCTCCTCACCTCTATGGTGGGAATTTTAACATACTGCCACCTCACAGTGTTTGTGGGTTAGAGCTAATATAGGAAAAATGCCTGTCTTGCCTCTGCATGGAGGTTTGTTGTAGCCTATTGACTCATCAAAGGAGAGAAGTGGCAGGTGAAGTGTTAGAAAAAATTTTTGAGTTTAACCCTCTGAAAATGTACTGACAGGTTGCAATGCTTTGTCCCCCAAAGGTCTGTGTGCTGGAAGCTTGGGCCACAGTGGGACTTTTAAGAGGTGGGTGCCTAGTGGGCCCCATGTGTTTGCATCATGGGAACACCACCCTCAATCAATCAATACTCTCTCAAGGGAGGGGGAGTTTCTGCCAGAATGAGTTTTTAGTAACTTGGCCGCTTAACGGGCATCTGTATTCTCACACTCTAATTCTGTAGGGTATGTTGTGCCACGGCACCAGAGGTGGCCAGATGCCCACCCCATGCATTTGGACTTTGCATCTGCCAGAATTGCAACCCAAATAAACCATCATTCTTTAAAAATCAGCTGGACTCAGGTATTCTGTCTTACCAACAAAACAAAATGCACTAAGACATGGGTGTTTGCTGTGTATTCTTTCTCCCTGTGGTTTTCTGGACCAATCACCCTGAAGCCACAAGCTGAAGCCACAAGCTCTTTGCCCAGAATGATATTTTCTGGCAGATAAGATCTGTCTTTTCCTCTCTTTCCTTCAAGTTTAAAAGTAAAAATTATTTTTTTCTCTCTTTTTATTTTGGAGAGGTTTTTGCAATAGGGTGCACACGCTCACTAGAAAACCAGAGCAAGACAGAGAGACAGCGAGAAATGGCTATGCCGCAATCACTTCTCCTCCATTCCCCTCTCGGGATCTTGGGCATGCATGCACACGCGCTCAGCGTGAGTTTAAGCCACCAGGTCAGAGACTCAAACCACAGTTGACTACAGGGGAGTCCAGCGACACAGCCCGTTACACCAACTGCTGGTCCCCAAACTAAAAATTCTTTACTTAAACTCATTAACATTATTCTAGATACCTCTGAAGCAAAACTCTTGGGGTAGAGGGAGTGCCATCTGAGGCAAAAGCTTCAGGTTTAAGAAAGGAGGAACTAGGTTCTTTCCTTTCTGCACTGCAGCTGCAACCATGAGTATGCTCAGGCTTCAGAAGAGGCTTGCCTCTAGTGTCCTCCGCTGTGGTAAAAAGAAGGTCTGGTTGGACCCCAATGAGACCTATGAAATTGCCAATGCCAACTCCCGTCAGCAGATCCGGAAGCTGATCAAGGATGGGTTGATCATCTGCAAGCCTTTGTCCATTCCCAGGCTCGATGCCGGAAAAACACCTTGGCCCACCGGAAGGGCAGGCATATGGGCATAGGTAAGCGAAAGGGTACGGCCAATGCTAGAAGAATGTCGCCTGGATGAGGAGAATGAGGATCCTGCGCCGGCTGCTCAGAAGATACCAGGAGTCTAAAAAGATTACCCGCCACACGTATCACAGCCTGTACCTGAAGGTGAAGGGGAATGTGTTCAAGAACAAACTGATTCTCATGGAGCACATCCACAAGCTGAAGGCAGACAAGGCCCACAAGAAGCTCCTAGCAGACCAGGCTGAGGCCTGCAGGTCTAAGACCAAGGAAGCACGCAAGCGCCATGAGGAGCGCCTCCAGGCCAAGAAGGAAAAGATCATCAAGACTCTGTCCAAGGAGGAAGAAACCAAGAAATAAAGCTCCCCGTCTGTCTCTTGTCTGTACATAGTGGCATTGGCAATTACACAGATCACCGCTTAAATAAAATAAGACTTTATCTGAAAAAAAAAAAAAAAAAAAAAAGCAAGGAGGAACTAGAATTTGCACCCCTCCCGCCCGCTCCCAGGGAAGTGAGACAGAGAGGCACTGCCTGCCTGTCCTTCCATCCTTCCTGGGTGGGGCCTGTGTGGAGTGCAGCCTGGGAGAAGTGCAGTCTGCTGAGTCAGTGCTCTGCCTTAGGAGATCGTGGGAAGGCCCTAGAATTTGCAGTTCTTACAGCTCTGAGATGATGCCTCTACTATGTCTAAGCAGCAGGGCCACCTTCCAGCCTTAGAGAGATTTCTTTCTTGTCTTTTTTTTTTTTTTTTTAAGTTTTTCTATATAGTGTGTGCACTTACCAGAGAGGGACAAAAACACGGAAAGTGAGAAATCACTCTTTGGGGGGATAGCCATGCCACAATCCCTTCTCCTTCTATGCTCCTCCTCCACGTGCATGCTCATGTGCCTGCCATGATTTTTCAGGCTGCCAGATTTGGGACGCAAACCATGGTTGGCCACGTAGGATCCAGCACCTTCACCACCATGCCACCTGCTGGCTCCCCAGAGAGATTTCTACCACACCACATGCAAGACCACAGACATCTTGACCCTCAAGTCTTAACCAAAAGACAAAATCAAGCCCTAGAATGGACAAAGAACATGTCAGAATTACTTTGGGGCCCAGCCGTGGGAAGACCTGATGCCTTCCTCTTCTCATCTTGGCACTTGAAAATCCCAATTTAGCACAGCTCTGACCAAAGGGGAGGGCCTTGTGTTGGCAGGGTTACTGCCACTATCTCTGGCTGGGAATTTTGTGTAGAAGTAAAAAAATGGAAGTATTACTTACATATTTGAGTTTGTAGATCAGGTTTACTACTGCAAAAGTTACCTGTGAGTATTATATATTGGGTTGTCATAAAAGTCATGATGTATTTTTCTCTGCAAAAAAATGCATCATGGCATTTCCAACAACCCAGTTATAACTCTAGTTATTCAACTTATTATTATTATTATTTTAGTTTTTCTATAGGACAGATGCACTGGCCAGAGAGAGACAGAGGAAGAGAGAGGAAGTGTGAAATCCCCAGAAAGGATGACCATGCTGCAATCCCTTCTCCATTCTCCTCATGGAATTTTGAGCATGCACGCATGCACACGTGCCCGGTGTGTTTCTCAAGCCACTAAATTGGGGCCTTAAGCTGTGCAGTCAGCCATGTGTGATCCAATGGCTTAACCACCATGCCACCTGTTGACTGGGTACTCAACATTTTAAGCTAAGTATTAAGAGAGTTTTCACTTATGAGTTGTGATGTTTTCTTAACCTTTTTATTTGGTAGTGATGACTGACAGGAACTATAAAAGTGAGGGGAGCCAACAAGCCTTGCCCGGCCTGGCATGGTCACATTGCTAGGTTCTGAGCTCCTCTGCCAGGGCCTGTATGTCTCCTTTGACCCCTCACCCAGTCCCGGCCAATCCCAGCATACAGTGTGTGCACTCCATAGACGCTTTACTCCATATCTGTGGAATGAATGAATCATGAACAAAATACACAGAGAGGGCTTTGTTTGCTATTGTGTTATTTATTTATTTACACATATTTTACTGTCAAATATATGAGCATAAATAAACAGCTTCAAATGGAAGGTAATGGTTTAAACAATGCTTCACACTTGGGGCCTGTGTTTTTAACTGTTTAGGGCACAGTTAATAACTATGCTTTTTTACTGTTATGATTGCTCATTCCTTTTACGATCTGATCATAATAAAGATGCATTTAATTAAACTTTCTTTTTTAAAGAATTATTTATGATTATTTTAATTTGACCAGAAAGAGAGAG